TTTTTCTCTATCTGCTTCCTCTAGAGCATTACCCAATTTCGGCCCTGGATCCACTTCTTTTATGATGTTGCCTTGCCTAGCTGGAGTAACACAAGTCATACGCGTGTGGCGTGCTAGTGATTCCGGTCGAGAACAATCGAGTAAGCTAGTCGTTATACGGCGTACCACTAGTCTCATAGAAGCAGCTCGTCTATCCGCCGAAGAGTTTGGCTTAATGGAGGAAGAGCGTGACAATTACCGATTGGTTCAGGTGAGTGAATTTTAATCTTTAATCATTGTAAGCCTTCATAATTATTTACCTCTATTATCATAAGTTTTATTTAAGAAGCAGTTATATTTTAGTTCGAATCTTGAACCTTTATTTTATTATTCCCGTGATATTCATATTAGTGGTTTTATTGGAATAGCTTTTGAAATTAAATGTCATTGGACCCTTCATCCCATTCAAAAATCAGATTTAAGGAATTGGATACCGTGAGAAAAATGCCTTAAAGTCTGGGTTGTTTATTTTTACAAAGAAGTTCTCAGCATACTCTCCCTTAACCATAAAAAATCCATGCGACCTCTTTTATATCATTTGTTGAACGTCGTCATGGTGTGAGCTATTCTTGGATCAAATTTATTCATTATCATAGCCAATAATGGTCACAATTTTAAGGCAAATCCTCCTTATGTCTCCGCCGTGAACGCTTGGAGAATATTTTGCACTTAATTTATTAAACGTAGGAAAGATTCACTCATGAAGTCATTTAGAGAGTCTTCGCAACCCATGTTTTATTTATATCGTTGAAATAAGTTTTACTAAGTCCTAGTATCAGGTGATTTTTTGACACGTTTGTCTGTATGATAATGCTACTTGGTTGATTTTCCTAGATGAAACTAAATTTCCTTCAGCTTAAAATTTCGCATTAAATGAAATTCTTTTTTTACTATATGAATAATTTTGTCAATAATCTATATTTCTAATATAATTAGTTGAAAGTATTTATAATAAATTGCAACGATTCGTTTGATTTTGTACAAAATATTGTAAGTAAATACTTGACTCCAAGTCTTATTCAAAAGAAATCAAATCAAAAATAGTAATATTTTTAGTTGATCAGTATTTTATGCATTGATAATTTGTCTGCCAACCCTAAATTTAAAGGAAGAATGTATGAAATGTATTCACCATATTTATTTTCATGTGATGATAGACTGGTAGTTGAAATTTTCCCACTATGCTATTAGTAGGCCTTATGTTTCGATTGAATTCCAAATAGCTTTTCTTCCCAAAAAGTATTATCATCAAAGCACAGATGGATTGCAATTTTGACTTGGCCTAGCTCTCATCAGCACGTTCAGCGGAACTGGACTACCAGTCCCACTGGGGATGCTGATCATGATCTCGACACATTAACCACTAATCCACATTGCCACGAGTGCTCTTGGGCCACAGGACTGATGTAAATTTCATGAAAGGCCGGACTTTTGTCCTCTTAACTGAAACAAATCTCGAAAATCTATTTATAAACGAACAAAAGAAATAATTTCACTACTACATGTAGCATAAAGTATTTCGCAAAAGCGCTTCTTAACTTCACTTTACTTATAATAACTGTAGGCGCCTAAAATACTGGTTAAAACTTTTATATTAAGCGGATTTTTATTAGGGTTTCTGTATCTTTATTGATAAATCATGACAGCATATTAAGGAGCATATTTTCAAACCTTTACATCGTAAGCATAGCCTAGGTCTGTAATCGAGCCAAACTGTTATATGTCGAAAGGAATCTGTCACCATACTCTTCCATTAATAATGTTGTCAGGACTATAGTTTACTCTTTTATCAGAGTGCGATTTCACCATTAATTTCTCCCTCCACACACACTTTCTGTATCTAACTTCCTTTGGAGATGATGATTAGATTTAAGCTAGGTCTCTACTACTACATGAGAGCCTACGGCAAAAGCAAGTATTTTGTTTACTTCATCTTAGGTGAATCAGCCATAAACTCTGTAAACTACCATCATTAATCAATTTTAGTTCATACCAAATCTCTTATGATCCTCTTTGCTCTTAATATTTTACGATGATCACAAACGAATTCCAATCTTACCTGCTAGCTGGGCGCTCATTGTCCACATAATATTCCCTGAGAGAGACTATCGGTCTTTCAATTACATATGTCTTGAGGGTTAGATTTTTATTCTCTGATATGTATCGTCAGTGAGACGATGCTGGCGAAACGTTTGGGGACGTACCAAGTCAATGGTCTGATGCTATAAATCACGAATAGAATGACAGAGGACACAGGACTAGTTACGCTCCACAAGATCTCTGACGCTCCGACCAAGTTGCGAAAACAAGGTCGAACCAACACTAAAGGAGACTGCGACGAAACACAAGGCCACACCATCTTGGTCTTAATATCTTGGATCATTTAATGCATCTTTTAAAGATAGTCGGCTTAGATTACCTTTTTTTCAGTTACACGATGAATTAATGAAGCTTTCTTGCAATGCCTTAGGGTCTTCGTTTCAAGCTTTTATGTCTCACCGGAATCCTAATCTACCCCAACTTTAAAGCATAAATTTGCATATTATACTTATCGAAGGTCCTAACTACGCTAGTATGGCTTACGGCTTTGTAATAAAGCGGTGTTATCTCGGTGTCATACGAGAGTTATTCACGCTTTTTGGTTGAAGAAGGACTGGTATTTGAAATTTCCCACAATCCTATGTGTAGTGCTGATGTTTCCATTTAATCTCACATAGCCTTGCCTTCCCAGAAGGTGCTCTCATCCAGTATGGACCGCAGTTTCGAC